AATTTTTTTTGCAGATTCCAAAGGGGTATCATAACAGATATCGGGCGATTTTTCCAAAATGCCATTTTCTTTCGATTTTGGAGGCTACATATCACGGAATCTGGCCGAGACTATTTTCCACAAATAATGAAGTCTATTGATCTTATTCTCCACGAATGATAAGTCCATTAAACAGCAATTTGGGCCAATTTATTTTCGGATGACATTTTCGTAATTTATGGGGTGGCGAGATGCCATTTTCTTTGGATTTTGAAGGCTACGGGTCACGGATTCGGCCTGTGGCTATTCTTCAACGATGATTAAGTCCATTAAGAACCGATTTGGGCATATTTATTCCGGGTCAATTTTTGGCCGATTCCAAAGGGGTACCATCACAGGTTTCGAACGATTTTTCTGAAATGCCAATTTCTTTCGATTCTGGATGCTACAGATCACGGAACCAGATCAAGGCTATTCTCCACCGATAACGAAGTCTATTGCTCCTATTCTCCACGGATGATAAATCCATTAAACACCAATTTGGGCCAATTTATTTTCAGATGGTATTTTCGTAATTTATGATGCGGCGAGATGTCAATTTCTTTGGACTTTGAAGGCTACGGGTCACGGATTCGGCCTGAGGCTATTTTTCAACGATGATTAAGTCCATTAAGCATCAATTTGGTTGGATTTATTCCGGGTCAATTTTTGGCAGATTCCAAAGGGGTACTATCATAGATTACATGCGATTTTTCCGAAATGCTATTTTCTTTCGATTCTGGAGGCTACAAATCACGGAATCAGGTCAAAGCTATTCTCCACCGATAATGAAGTCTATTGATCCTATTCTCAACGGATGATAAGTCCATCAAACACCAATTTGGGCTAATTTATTTTCGGATGGTATTTTTGTAATTTATTGGGGGACGAAATGCCATTTTCTTTGGATTTTGAAGGCTACGGGTCACGGATTCTGCCCGAAGCTATTCTTCAACGATAATTAAGTCCATTAAGAACCGATTTGGGAGTGTTTATTCCAGGTAAATTTTTGGCAGATTCCAAAGGGGTGCCATCACAGGTTTCGAACGGTTTTTCCAAAATGCCAATTTCTTTCGATTCTTGAGGCTACAGATCACGGAATCAGGACATGGCTATTCTCCACCGATAATGAAGTCTATTGATCCTATTCTCCACGGATGATAAGTCCATTAAACATCAATTTGGGCCAATTTATTTTCGAATGGTATTTTCGTAATTTATGGGTGGCGAAAGTCCAATTTCTTTGGATTTTGAAGGCTACGGGTCACGGATTCGGTCGGAGGCTGTTCTTTAACGATTTTTAAGTACATTTAGCACCGATTTGGGCGGATTAATTACGGGTCAATTTTTGGCAGATTCCAAATGGGTACCATCACAGATTTCGGGCGATTTTTTCGAAATGCTATTTTATTTCGATTCTGGAGGCTACAGAGCACGGTATCAGGCCGAGGCTATTATCCACCGATAATGAAGTCAATTGATTCTATTCTCCACGGATGATAAGTCAATTAATCACTAATTTGGGCCAATAATTTTCGGATGACATGTTCGTAATTTATGGAGCGACGAAAGGCCATTTTCTTTTGATTTTGAAGGTTATGGGTCACGGATTCGGCCTGAGTTTATCTTCAACAATCATTAAGTCAATTAGGCACCGATTTGAACGGATTTATTTCGGGACAATTTTTGGCAGATTCCAAAGTGGTACCATTACAGATTTCAGGCGATTTTTCCGAAATGCCATTTTCTTTCATTTCTAGAGGCTATAGATCACGGAATCCGGCCGAGTCTATTCTCCACTGATAGTGAAGTCTATTGATCCTATTCTCCACGGATGATAAATCCATTAAACACCAATTTGGGCCAATTTATTTTCGGATGGTATTTTCGTAATTTATGGGGTGGCGAAAGGCCAATTTCTTTGGATTTTGAAGGATACGGGTCACGGATTCGGCCTAAGGCTATTCTTCAACGATGATTAAGTCCATTAAGCATCGATTTGAGTGGATTTATTCCGGGTCAATTTTTGGTAGATTCCAAAGGGGTACCATCACAGATTTTGGGCGATTTTTCCGAAATGCTATTTTCTTTCGATTCTGGAGGCTATAGATCACGGAATCAGGCCAAGGTTATTCTCCATCGATAATGAAGTCTATTGGTCCTATTCTCCACGGATGATAAGTCCATTAAACACCAATTTGGGCCAATTTATTTTCGGATGGTATTTTCGTAATTTATTGGGCGTCGAAATGCCATTTTCTTTGGATTTTGAAGGCTACGGGTCACGGATTCGGCCTGAGGCTATTCTTCAACGATAATTAAGTCCATTAAGCACCGATTTGGGAGGGTTTATTCCGGGTCAATTTTTTGCAGATTCCAAAGGGGTGTCATCACAGGTTTCGAACGATTTTTCCGAAATGCCAATTTCTTTCGATTCTGGAGGCTACAGATCACGGAATCATGCCGAGGCTATTCTCCACCGATAATGAAGTCTATTGATCCTATTCTCCACGGATGATAAGTCCATTAAACACCAATTTGGGCCAATTTATTTTCGAATGGTATTTTCGTAATTTATGGGGCGGCGAAAGGCCAATTTCTTTGGATTTTGAAGACTATGGGTGACGGATTCGGCCTGAGGCTGTTCTTCAATGATTTTTCATTCCATTTAGCACCGATTTGAGCGGATTTATTCCGGGTCTATTTTTGGCAAATTCCAAAGGGGGGGTACCATCATAGATTTCGGGTGATTTTTTCGAAATGCTATTTTCTTTCGATTCTGGAGGCTACAGAGCACGGTATCAGTCCGAGGCTATTCTCCACCGATAATGAAGTCTATTGATTCTATTCTCTACGGATGATAAGTCCATTAAAGATCGATTTGGGCCTATTTATTTTCGGATGGTATTTTTGTAATTTATGTGGCGACGGAAGGCCATTTTCTTTGGATTTTGAAGGCTACGGGTCACGAATTCAGCCTTAGGCTATTCTTCAACGATGATTAAGTCCATTAAGCACCGATTTGGGCGGATTTATTCCAGATCAATTTTAGGTAGATTCCAAAGGGGTACCATCACATATTTCAGGCGATTTTTACGAATGCCATTTTCTTATGATTCTGGAGGCTACAGATCACGAAATCAGGCCGAGGCTATTCTCCACCGATAATGAAGTCTATTGATCCTATTCTGCACTGATGATAAGTCCAATAAGCACCGAAATAGGTCAATTTATTTTCGGATGACATTTTCGTAATTTATGGGGGGCCGAAAGGCCATTTTCTTTGGATTTTGAAGGCTACGGGTCACAGATTCGGCCTGAGGCTATTCTAAAACGATGATTAAGTCCATTAAGCACCGATTTGGCAGATTTATTTCGGGTCAATTTTTGGTAGATTCCAAAGGGTACCATCACAGATTTCAGGCGATTTTTCCGAAATGACATTTTCTTTCTATTCTGGAGGCTACAGATAACGAAATCATGTCGAGGCTATTCTTCACCTATAATGAAGTCTATTGATCCTATTCTGCACTGATGATAAGTCCATTAAGAACCAATTTGGGCCAATTTATTTTCGGATGTCATTTTCGTAATTTATGGGGCGACGAAATGCCATTTTCTTTGGATTTTGAGGGCTACGGGTCACGGATTCGACCTGAGGCTATTCTTCAACGATGATTAAGTCCATAAAGCACCGATTTTGGCAGATGTATTCCGGGTCAATTTTTGGCTGTTTCCAAAGGGGGTACCATCACAGATTTCAGGCGATTTTTCCGAAATGACATTTTCTTTCGATTCTGGAGGCTACCGACAACGGAATCAGGCCGAGACTATTCTTCACCGATAATGAAGTCTATTGATCCTATTATCAGCGGATGATAAGTCCATACACCGATTTGGGCTATTTATTTTCAGATGGTATTTTCGTAATTTATGGGCGACGAAAGGCCATTTTCTTTGAATTTGGAAGGCTACGAGTCACGTTTTCGCCCTCTGGCTATTCTTTATTTGGGGAAGAAGAAGATAAAAAAGAGAGAGAGAGGAGAGAGGAGAGATATGGTAAATAAAATAGAGTGAGTTGTTTTCTCTCGGATTTGGAGGGGCGGGTTAAACAGTACCCCTTCACCTCCTTTTCCGCCCTTCGGGAACACAGGGTGAGATAATTACGGTACACAATCATTGAGTAAAATATTCAGGTGCCAAAAATGTGCGTGAGATTCAGGAAGAATAATAAACGAATATCAGGAATAATAATAAATATACTAGAATATTATAATAATATTTAAATCAATATTATAATATCTATTTAAACCTTCTAATTCAATTAGAGCACCACTAGAAATAGTTAAAATAGAACCTAATCGATCATCAATACATCAAAATAAAAAAGATAAATGGAACACAATAAAAAAAAATTAAACATATTCAACTAATTGAAAATATTTAGAACGAAGAGAGATGGAAAGTAACTCAGTAATAAATAAAATATAAAAGCTACAACATTCGGTAAAAAATATAGAAAAGAAAATATGACTATAAAAGCTACAACATTGGTTAGTTACAACATTCATGGAATAATTCAATTATTAGAACACATAAAAATAATTGAAAATAATTATAATGATAATTGATTCTAAATTTTCAAAAATTAGTTTGGTATCAAGTATTCAAAAGAGGATTCTAACTAAACAATAACAAATGATGTTTTTCAAGAGTTCAAATAATTTTTTTACAATAAGAAAAGTAGAAGGTCCAATTATGAAATTTAGAAAATGAATTATTTCAACAATATTCTATCAATTTTGACGGAATGCATTTAATTGTAAACTTAAGTTGTACATCTATGCACATATAATAGAATTTAGTGATAACCCACACACTATTCAAATTTCAAATTTAAATGGTATGTTTATCACATCTAATCTCGTAATATCAGAGGCATCAATTTTTACTTCTTCTCAAGCTCTAAATCCACCAGCCATCTCCCATACTGCAAGTGCAAAGCACTGGATCTTGAGTTTCTCCATGTTCAATTAATCGATCAGGAGGAAAAAGAAACAGAGTAACAAAATTTACCAGAATCGAAATCTCCACAAGAGCAACAGCGCCGCTTCCGCTTTGATCACTGGAAAAGCTTTTGCACTTTCCAGATCCAAACGGCTTTAGCCAAATTTTGGATGACGAAGGGCTGGAGGAACGAATTCGGAACATGGTGATCGAGTGAGATTTGACTGGAATATATACAGGGCCAAAGTGGAGAAATGATGGATGTGGAGAGATCCTCGTTGTGCAATTGCGTGGTGAATTTCTTGCTGGAGGAGAATTACGTGCTGACGGCGTTCGAATTGCTCCACGAGCTGCTCGACGACGGCAGGGATCACCACGCCATTCGGCTCAAGGAGTTCTTCTCCGATCCTTCCAACTTCCCTCCCGATCAGATCTCCCGCCTCAACTCTCTCCGAGGTTCTAATCTTCTTTTTCTCAACAGCAGTTGCCTCTACTATTTGATTGTATTTTAGAGCCCTCAACTGCTGTTTTTTCGAGTTTGCCATGGCGCGTAAAGTGTAGAAAGATCATTACTTTGGCATGATTCTATTATTGAACTAGCTCAGTGACTCTACATTACTCAGATTTAAGATTTTGGCGTGCTACATTTGCAAGTTAGGGTTCTGCTACTAATCGAATTGCAGCGTGAACTTGAGGCATTCCTTTCTTTTGCTCTTCTGTTGTGAAATATCCAGTTGCAGACCCGCAGAGTTTGCTAGAGGAGAAAGAAGCAACGCAAGAAAAATTGGCCCTCAGTGAATACGAGCTGCGGTTGGCACAAGAGGACATTTCGAAATTGAAGTCTGAGTTACAGAAGAGAGTGGAGTTATCTCCAACTCAGTTGACTGGTAAGGAGCCCCCTTTTTATTGTATGAACTTCATGTGTCTCAATTTTGAACAACCATGAAGCTTGTGTTCATTTCCCCCTCTTTTTGGGATAAGTTTCAATCATAATCATTTGATTGTAGAAACTGCCTCGTTGACGGAGAGTGTTTGTCAGGCTGTGCATCCCTGCATTGTTCCTTGTTGATTAACTTTTTTGGGACTAGTTTTGCTTATTCTGATTGCTATTATATATATATATATATTCTCGATTTATCTGCAGAGTCGACGCCTGATGCCGCTGGGAGTCCAGGATCAGATCTTCTAAAAAGAAAAAAGGATGGTTCTTCCTTTGACTTGGGTCCTCTGAACAATAACGAGCGTAGAGATCTTAATTGTGCTGTACAGGAATATCTACGACTGGCTGGATACCGTCTTACTGCTATGACATTTTACGAAGAAGTACGTAAGACATCACTGTGCATTGTGTTCTGTTTGGCTTTTGATATTTCCTACTTTTTCTCAAGCATTTTGGAGCAAACATAAATAGACCGAGAAAGCTGTTTAGAGGATTCTTTATACCTGCCTTTATAGGGGGTGTTTCCTGTTCTTTGTTTAATTTTTCCAACGCTTGTTGGGACGCTGTTGATCCTGTTCATAAAATACAGAAATCGTTATTACGAGGGTTTAAGGCATTTCTGAGCTTAGGGGAATCTGTGGTGGAAACCTAGCATCAGCATGAAAATCTACTAACGAACTTTGAGAATTTGTATGCCTGCTTACTACAGAACTGAATGTTTCCAGAAATATCTCATTTTTGTTTTTGCTGGTGGAGCTGCTAGTATATTCTGCATTTTGAGAACGAAGTCTAGACCAATATAAGAAGGTGTTTGCTTTCTGTCAAACATTGCATGCAGCTTTTAAAAGATTAAGACTAGCATGAGAGTTGTGTATATTCATTTCCTGTTCTAAGAAGGGTGCAGAAGAGAAGGTGGTCAAGCAGTTGTTCTCTTAAGTGGGCTTTTTTGCCTACAGTATCCTTCGGCATTTTATAGTTCAATGTTGGCACCAAATATGAACCTAGGGAAGGTTGGTTATTTTCCTGCTCTATCTACCGATATGTCGACCCTTAGGTGTTCACTTTCTTGTGCATGTTAATAATGTTATGCACATATTTGTCCCATTGAATTATTACGATAAATCATTGGGTTGATAATTCTCTCTCTCAGGTTACAGATCAGAATTTAGATGTTTGGCAGAACACTCCTGCTAGTGTGCCAGATGCCTTGCGGCATTACTACTACCAGTACCTTTCATCCACATCAGAGGCAGCTAAGGTACTTCTTGAAACATAATTTTTCTCCACATTGAATACATGAGTATCATTTTGTTGCTTTGCTTTATTGAACATGATCCCCGCCCTTACTTTGCTTGGCCTAATGTCAGATTGTCAGTGAGACTTTTTAACTGATGAAATGTTAGTTGGGTTGATGTACTACGTGGAAACACTCTGTATGAATTACAAATTGCCTTAGAAGTGACAAAAGTGAAGCTTTACGTGTTATCATGAAAATGATTTTTCTTGTCTTTTATGTCCCCTTCAATAGCATTAAAGTTGTGTCATGAAGTTTTTCTTGTTCAATTTTGAAGCTGCCAAGAGAGATAGATAAACCACAATTTGGGCTGCCTTTTAGGTGCTTATAATTGGTTAAGAGTTGTTATATGCAGCAAGACCTCTCCAGAAACCCACTTATAATTGGGTTAAGAGTTGGCATTTGCAGTAAGACATCTCCACGAACCCAGAGGATGAATGTGCTTATGAGAAATTTGAAAAAGAAGGAAGAAGTGTGAGAGCATAATTCAGTGCAACAGTTGATTTGATTAATCTCGAACTGGTGAAAAGTTGGATTTTGTATTTGTTTGTTGTAATGTAAGGGAGTTGAGAATTGATTACAGGCATTTTTAAGTTAAGACTTATTAGAGGCCAGCTGGCGAGATCAGAATGATTGATATTGTTCTCGTTGTTGATTTGGTTAGTTTCTGCTTGATTCATTTCGGCAGAAGTTCACCAATGACTGTCTTTAATGGTCAAGGTTGGTTTAGTCTTCTGTCGGTAATTGCCTTTTCAAATTGGTGGAAAGCATCATTTTCATTTCGTACTCATGCTGAGCCCCCATCTTACAGAACAAACTAGTTATTGAGCTGAAAATGGCTCGAAGTCATTCCACTTTCTTTTGCTGTTAAGCTGCGGATTTTCATTAACAGCAGAGATTCGTGTATACTGAATTTCTTGTATTCTGGAGCTAAATAGCAATATATTTGGACAGCAGGATTCTAAATCTTTATACTATGATTATACTTGGATGGGATGTGTTGCAGTGAATGTTGTTAGAGTGCATACATAAACACGTTTGTACTTTGCATTGCAGGAAAAAGTTGCCATGATTCGAGAAAATGAATCTTTGCTGAAATCAAGTGAGATATTGAATGAAGAAAAGGGGAGGCTTCTTAAAAACAAGGAGTTGGCGGATAATCAAATAAGTGGTTTGACCAAGTCACTAGAAACCTTTCAAAAGGATGTCAAAGACAAGGAGAACCAGGTACAGATACACTAATAGCTTTATTCTCTTTGCAATTGGATAACCAGTTATGTAAGACAGAGCTTTCTCCCAGATAAAACGGTTGAAGCAGTCACTGGAGCACCAAAGAAAGGAACTCAATGACTGCAGGTCAGAAATCACTTCATTGAAGATGCATATCGAGGGATATCGTTCCGGTAGGAATGTGATGGCTAGTGATACTGACACTGCTGAAACCCAGTCAATTGAAAAGTGTAAGGAAGAAATAAAGATTTTGCATCTAGAAATAGAGAAGTTGAAAGCTAAAAGTACCACTTCTCCCGAGTCTGTGGAGAGAACCGACTCTGGAAAAGAGTCTGTGCAACCTGAAGAGAAAGTTGTTGAAATTGATGAAGAGACACCTCTAATCTCTCATCCAACTGATGCTGAAAGTGTTAAACAAGATGTTCCTCCGCTTGTTGGAGATATGACTAAGCCTGAGGGATTTCCACAAGATAGTACAGGAAGTTTTACCGACAAAGTTAACACTATTGACGAAAGTCCAAGAGTCTCAGAACAAAATGGCGACGTGCCATCACCAGCTCCTGGTATTTCTGTGAAATCAGACAACCTAGGTTGTGATGGGTCGTTAGAGAATACGGTAAATTCATATCCTTGGATTCAGAAAATTACTTTCGGTTCTGGCCATCCCTTGCCTTCTTTCTGTATATTTTCACTGTTCGCTGAAAACGACGGTGCTCAGCTCATTTTACTTGTGGAATTTTTTAGCTATGCTTCAGTATCACAAAGGATTTATTCTACCCACATTCAGTAGTTATGTTGTGTTTTAATTTTCCTCTGGAAGAAGAAAATTAACTTCTAATTTTCATTTTATAGTTATAGTTGGTCTATTATATAATTTATCTTACACATTTTTGTTTTCAGGGTTCAGAGACTATTCAAATCCTTGCTGATGCCTTACCCAAGATTGTTCCCTATGTTCTAATAAATCATCGAGAGGTGTGCTATGATTAATATGCTCATTGATTGCTCCTGCTTCAGGAACAAATAATTATTTTTCATAGTTGTTTCTGGAACAAAAGAAAAAAAAATGTTTGGCTGATATTCTTGCTTCGATTTGCAACAGGAGCTCCTGCCTCTTATGATGTGTGCAATCGAACGTCATCCTGACGGCAGTACTAGGGATTCATTAACACATACATTGTTTAATTTGATTAAACGTCCGGATGAGCAGCAGAGACAGATCATAATGGATGTAAGTCCTTGGCCCCACGTTCTTAGAAATGGAAGTTTGTTCCTCTGAAAATGTATCAATTAGTGACATTACAGGCACAAGAGGTGTAACTATTGTAATTGGCTGAGTATAATCTGAATTTAGCTAAGGCTTTTTTATAAAGAAAATATGAACACCTAAACCCTGTAGGTCCTCCACGTGTTTTGATGTACTTGCTTTTATCATAATGTTCTTTTTGGATTTAAATCAACCAAAGATAATGGAACATTCTACTATATGAAATTCTTTACACTTAATGAGGACATATATAGAAAGTAGTAGCTGATTTATTTGTTGGCTTCTGTTTACATCAGGCTTGTATTAGTCTGGCTAAGAATGTTGGCCAGATGAGAACAGAAACGGAGTTACTTCCTCAGTGCTGGGAACAAGTGAGTTGTAGCTCTCCATATTTTTTTTCCAGATTACCGTTTTTCATTGGCTCACTGGATTGTTTCCCTTTTTTTTTATTTCACCAGTTCCCCGGTATTACATCATTTTTTGCAGATAAATCACATGTATGAGGAGCGCAGACTGCTTGTTGCTCAATCTTGTGGACAGATTGCAGAATTTGTGAGGCCTGAGATCCGGGATTCTTTAATTCTTTCTATTGTGCAGCAACTAATTGAGGATGCTGCAAGTGTTGTTCGAGATGCTGCTGCTCATAATTTGGCTTTGCTGCTTCCACTATTTCCAAACGCGGACAAATATTTCAAGGTCAGCCTCACTAAATATGCTTCGAGGCAATCAGGGAGAAGAACTCTCATTTGACAGAAATGTAAGCTCTAGACAGGTTGATGGCACATTGTCTAGGGAATGAGGCTTTTTTCCTCATGCCATGATATCACGACTTGGAAAAACTATTAAGTAAAGAAAAAAGAATGAATGAAAATCAATTTTTATAGAATGTGTTGGTTTCTGTGTTAATAGGTTGAAGAGTTGGTGTTCCAGCTGGTTTGTGATCCCTCTGGGGTGGTGGTCGAAACTACACTCAGGGAGCTGGTTCCTGCAGTAATAAAATGGGGAAACAATTTAGAACACGTTTTGAAAGTTTTGCTGTCTCATGCCTTAAGCTGTGCTCAGGTATATGCTTGTTTCACTAGAATTACAGTTCAATTACCGTGTGCTCTTTTTTCTCACATTATTTGGAAAACTACCTTCCCAGCGTTGCCCTCCTATTTCTGGTGTTGAAGGCTCACTGGAGTCGCATCTACGGGTCTTAGGAGAACGTGAACGCTGGAATCTTGATGTTCTATTGAGAATGCTAATTGAGTTACTTCCACTAATCCGTCAAAAGGCCACTGACACTTGTCCATTTCCTCCTGTTTTGGAGTCAAATGACAACACCTTTTCTGATGCCTTGCTAGACCTGTATGCAGGGTGAGATAGATATTTTCTTCTTTCCCAACTTACCGTATAGCTCTTTAACTGCCATTGTACAAATTTGAATCCATGACATTTCAGTTTCCAAGGTCCTTATTAGGTTTCCTCTCTTTTTAGAATCTGTTTTTCCCTATTGCTCCTGAGAAATCTTTAATCACTTCAGTAGGGGACATGTGGAATGGCCTGCGTTTGAATGGATGCATGTGGACTGCTTTTCTGACCTGATAAACCTGTCGTGCATGTTACATCGGAAGGAGGACAATCTGAGAAACAGAATTACAAAGGTAGGTTGTTCTTTTGGTATTCATTCTGTTTCCTCATATTTGTATTTTCCTTTTCATTCAACGATTATGCTATCTTGCAGTTTTGCTGACACAGGTTTGTTTGTAGTTCTTATTAGCTGTCGGACAAAGTTATGGGGATTCGTATCGTGTTCATATAATGCTGCCTGTATTCTTGGTAGCCGTCGGTGATGATGCTGACTTTACCTTTTTCCCTTCAGCTATACATTCGAGAATCAAAGGTATGAACCCCCTTCATTATTCTGTTTGAACAACTTACATGCGAGTAGGTTGCTCTAAATGCTAATAGTATTTTACTATTTTTGCAGGTTTGAGGCCTAAAAGTGTTGTTGCTACAAGACTGGCTACAACGTGTGTTCTACCACTTCTCTTGGCAGGCATTTTAGGTTCTCCCAGTAAACGTGATCAGCTAGAAGACTACTTGAGAAAGCTGTTAGTTGATAACCACCTGAATGAGAATCAATCAACTAGGCGCTACGCTGATGTCATTGATGCTGTTCGGTTTCTGTGGTTTGTATGCTAGACTTGATTTCAGTGGTGTTTAACTGGCTGACTTTAATTTTTTTTTCCTTGACTAACGAACTCAATTGTTTCTCCATGATGCAGTTCTTTTGAACAGCACCACGGCATGATATTCAATATCTTGTGGGAAATGGTTGTTAGCTCAAGTATGGATATGAAAATCAACGCTGCCAATCTGTTAAAAGTTATCGTAAGTATTTTTGTCTCTGAAATGCCATCGTTTCCAGCTTACACCATCTATCTGGAAGCCTCTTAATTCTATCCTTGTTTCATTCTTAGGTGCCATATGTCGATACAAAGGTTGCTTCAACCCACGTGGTACCTGCCCTTGTAACTCTAGGGTCCGACCCGAATCTGAAAGTGAAGTATGTCAGCATAGAATCATTTGGAGCTGTGGCACAACATTTCAAGAACGATGTGGTAGGGAATATGGTTTCCCTTCATCTGAATACTGGTTATTGTGGTAATTTCTGGCCTGCCCAAGTATTTATTTGACTCTATCATCATCTTTCAGATTGTTGATAAGATACGAGTTCAAATGGATGCCTTTCTGGATGACGGATCACATGAAGCAACAATAGCTGTTGTCCGAGCATTATCAGTAGCCGTGCCACATACAACTGAGCGTCTTAGAGATTATATCCTCAAATTTCAGAATCGCCATTACTTGCATCAATTTGTGTTCTGTACAGATTACCACTGTAGGTCACTTGTTTCCTTAACGTTCCTTACATCTCCTTTCGAAAATTTTCCATTTCTCTGCCGTCCCAACATCACCAGGTGACATTACTCGTCGCGGGGAGAGGGCTAATGCATTCTGTGAAGCAATTCGTGCCCTGGATGCCACAGGTTTGACTTCTTGTGTCGATCTGTCCTTATTTGGACCTGAAACACAGACATAAATAAGTGTGTGCCCAACTGCTCATTTGATACGTTCATTCTGATCTCCGCTCGCTGCAGATCTCTCGGTTAACAGTGTGCGTGAATACCTGCTGCCAACGATACAAAACATGTTAAAGGATCCAGAAGCCCTAGACCCAGCTCACAAGGAAGCCCTTGAGATAATAATGAAGGAAAGATCAGGTGGGACCTTGGACACCATAAGCAAGGTGATGGGAGCTCATCTAGGGACTGGGATAGCATCATCGGTTACCAGTTTCTTCGGAGAGAGCGGGCTGTTGGGGAAGAAAGAAACCGCAGAATCATCTCCACAACAGTCGGCGCCTCCATCTCCCAATGCTGCTGCAACGCTTCCTCCCCAACCAGCAGAAGATACAAGATTCATGCGAATCATGAGGGGTAACTTCACCGACATGCTGAGGGGTAAAGGGAAGAACCCAGATGAAGCACCACATTAGGAGCTGACAGTGTCTTCTCTCAGTTCTCGCAGTAGCATAGAAAGTTTGAAAGCCTTTCCCATCGATCGTGCACAGGAGTTTCAAGGAACAGGATGGAGATTTGAGAACTTGGACGATGAAACGATTGTAATACGAGAGCACCTGGTGCATTTATCTGTGGAAAAGCCTGACATAACTCCTTGTTCCTTTTCCAGCATTCATTTATTGGACATCTTGGGCAGCCAGTTAGAAATTTCTTTAGTTCCTTGTGATGGTTAGTCAGTCTTCTTTTCTGAAGAGGGTTATGAAGACTGATTCCTTGGTCAGTTAATAAATTGATTGGTGTTTTTTGGTTCTTCTAACCTGCATTTTGGTATGTGTTAAAGTGGAACACACTAGCTGGAAAAATCAATCCATTGGAAATGGACCAAAATTTTTGTCAAGAATGGGATTTGAACCCATGCCCTTTCGGACCAGTACCTGAAACTGGCGCCTTAGACCAACTCGGCCATCTTGACTTGATATTTATTATTTATGCTTTATGTTATATATAATGTGTACTATCACCTTCCTATCATGTTAATTTTGTGCACTATTAAAATCCAACCTATATGGATCCTAGAACTTATGTTAGAGGCCTTACCAACCAACTCGCAAGGCACACAAAAGACCAAATATTACTTGTCATTTCCATCAAGACACAAATTCTTTTAACTACTATTGCTCTTGAAACCAAAACACCATATGAGGTTCTTTCAGTTTTGAGGGGGTTTGACGTACAATTCCACACTTGGTCGCCAAGTCAATCGAAACCCAAACAATTTAGTAACAAAAGCTACATACAAGCAAGACATGAATAAAATGAAATCTAAAGAGGATGTAAAGTAGAAAGTAAAGGTCTTTGTCTAGGTGTTGCTTCCCCTAGAGCTTCCAGATTGACATGCAACTCAAACATAACTTAGACAATATAGTGGTGTTTAAACGGGTTTCTCCACTTTGAGCCAATATCATATCCTACTCTAGTAGATTTCTCATTTGGAGGTGGATTAGTGTGGCATGCAGATAGTTAATCTATTCTATGGATTTCTCTGTTGTGGTTTCACTATCAAACATGTATTAGTGTCCTAAAATCATACAAGTCATTTCTAACCAATCTCAAAATACGAACACAAATATGAATCATAAGCAATATGGATAAACTAATCAAGGTAAACAAGAAATTAATCACAATATATACTGGAATTAAAGCATCATAAACAATATTTGCAACCCCAAGGGTCCACAACCCAAAAAAAACTATTCCAAAACTAGCCAGTTGACAATAGCTTGGGATAAAATAAAATAAAAACCTAAGCTGGAAAACGATGACCTCTCCCTAATTTGGCGCTTTTTGGTGCCAAAATGGGCTCGAATTGTGGTAAAATCCGCCGAAATGGAATGGGCCTCTCTAGCTCCATTTATAACTTCTATTCCATGGGTCTTCATATCCAATACTCATGCAAGAAGATCCTATATGATGTCTTGGTCACATATTAAAAAACTATCTGAAAAGGAATCAAATGTGTAAATCAATCTTAGAGGCTACCAAAATTTTGAGCATTTACCAAGCAAATCCAAATCAAAATGACTAATGGTGTGTTTGGATAGGCGTATTTCAAATGTAAGGTATTTGAAATACGGGATCGTTTGGAACTTTTGATTCTGGAAATGATGTATTATGAGAATGTGTGTATTAAAGATTATGTATATACTAAGAATGATTGGTTTTGAAAATTCATTGTTTGAAACCCATACAAGTATGCATGGATTATAGTTTAGATAAACTATGGATACTAAAATCTCACAAAGAAAGTAAGATTATGAATACATCATTTTCTATGTATTAGGAATACAACATGGATTATGAATACATGCATTCTGTTATTACATCAAGTCAAAAAACGTTGTATTCTCAGGATACATGTATACTGAGAATACAACATATGAAATCGGAGGTTCCAAACAAGCCCTACATGTTTTTAAAATGCATGCATTTGAAATACATATAATTCAAATTCGTTGTTTGGATACTCATTTGTAATTTGTTTGTATTTTAAATTTCATGATTTTTATTTTACATTTTCTGGTCACTTACTGCAAATTTTGGTAAATCATAGTTTGGTACCCAAATTTATTTTTCCTTACAATTTAGTACCTAAACTTTTAAAATTTTACAAAAAGGTCCAGAATTTTTTTATGGTGAAATTATATTTTGGTACCTTTATATGTTTTTCCTCGCATTATAGTACCTAAAATTTTAATATTTTATAAATAGGTCCAATCTTTTGTTAGGAGGTATTTCAAATCACTAATTTTTTTAAATATATTTGAAGTTGACAAGTAATACACTAGACATGTATTTGGAAATCACCCCATGAATTTGGCACAAATTCAAATACCAAATGTAATTAATATCCAAGCACATGATTTGACATTTAGAAATCCAAATCACAAATACTAAATCCAAATTATTACATCCAAATACACCGACCTAAAGAATTATATGGACCATTACAGAGAACGTAACTATTTTTAAAAAGAGTTTTGGACACTTACACTATCTCACCATTATACATGTTAATCTTACCTTTGTTGTTGAACAACTGATGCGGCTTGATTTAAGGATTCTAAAATACCCCAAGAATGGTCCATTGGATTGTTCTAGCAATCTATCAAAATTCAAAATCACACCTTCTTTCTATGTGGGTAGTGATTCAGATTGGCTTCATGTGAGACAAGACGTTTAACGACAATGTTCTTAGGCGGCGTTTGGATGTGGAAATTTGAAAACGTGGGAATTTGTATGAATTTCCATGTTGTACAAAACCAAGGAATTGACTTGTGGAAATTGAACAAAATTCCACGTTTGGATAGAGTTTAGTTTTGTGGGAATTGATGGTGTGGAATTTGGTAAAAAAACAAAAATGCCCTCTTTTGTTTATATACATATACCCCTCCTAAAGGTTGTTGTTGTATTATACTAACTACTAATTGTTGCTAACTTAAGCATAGTTAGAAAAATATGATGTGGAAAAGTTACGTAGAAAATACGTACGATTATTTTACTTCATCTCTAAGCTAATGTTACATTTAATTGTACATTAAAAGCCATAAATATATAAACTTAATTATTTTAATAATAAGTACATATATAAATTATAATAAAGTTAACAATTTTATTCATTAAATACGGATATTAAAAGTGTTTATGCGAATTCAATGAGGAGAAGCAAGAAAATTGACGGTGAATGAGATAATTAAGCGAATCCAAAATTAAGAAATTGATGACGGATTAGAGGAGATATACGAAGGTGAGGGGAGATGAAGAAGAAGAGGTGTCATTGATGAATGAAGAAAAAGGAGCTACTCTTGTAAGAAATAGTTAGGCGAAATCGGAGGAGTAAGGAAGAAAGGAGAGGAAGGACATAAGGACACATTTGGAAATAGAAGGAAGAAAACGTGGTAATGTCAAATTACTAGGGGGAGATGTAGTATTCTCAATTACAATGAATGTGGTAATTGGAGCCAATTTCCATGGTCCAATTCCCATACCCTTTTTGCTCTGCCAAACGTGGGGTTTTAACCCAATTACTACATTATGTGGTAATTGGGTCCAATTACTACATTATATTTCCACATCCAAACGACCCCTATCATTTGTAAATCCAAGAAATAGGGGATTGTTCATCGTTTGTCCTCTGAAGGTAAATACAGAGACTACTACTACTACAGGAATGGGATTCCATTTCATTACTAACTGTACAAGTTATGTCTTATTATGATTAGTAGTTAATTAGTTTACTTAATTTTAGTTACTTTTATAAAATGGGCGGGGCGGGCACCTTAATACACAGACCTGTCTCAAACCAAACACGGATCAAGTTGAATAATACCCACTTGTGCGGGTATATATGGTTCGGAGCGGGTCGACTAATTCTTATATATTGTTTGAAGAAAACATGTATTTCTTAAACTGATAAAAACAAAGGAAACTGCATTTCATAAATCAAAATATAGATAATTAGGTAGATTGATTATTGAGTCAAATCCGTTGAAAGATGAGGTCTTGGCACTTATTTAAAATGTCATTGGGTAAAAGTATGAGTTAACGTAAGTCAAAATAGGAAAAACAAAGACAGATATCAAGACAAAACGAGATAAGAACGAATAAAAAAAAGACATAACAAGATAAATCAAAAGTAATATACACATGCCCTGCTCCATATATACTACCGTGGACCGAATATCACTCGCTCCAAGCACGAATCAAGTCGAATAACATACACAGCATACTTATCGAATTGTCATCACTAATGGTAGTAGATACCATATCCTTTTCATATACTCCTTCACTATCATATCCCTGTTTATCATTTACATCTCACCAGCTTATTTAGTACACTCTTCACTGTTTCTTTACCAAACAATATTCGACACGTAACTTAGATCTCCATTTTCGCCACCTTACCCTTTCAAACCTTGTCGGCAACCTATTTTAGAGCGTCTCTGTGTTTAAGTTCGATGTATACAGGCGCCATGGATATGGAAAAGAACAGTACACAAAATTTAAAGGTCCGGCACCGGCAAGAAGTAGGTCGGGGTTTATGGATGGGACAGAATAATGTATCATTTAATGAACAATAATAAAGTGTGAATACGACGCTCATCAGTAAAGGTTAATGAAGTCCCATCCTCTCTTGCATGTGTTGTATGGTGAGGTGAGACTGAGTGGTGCATGGTGCTGCTGCCTATCGGATCGAATATGGGCCACCAGTACGTAACATAAATCTCGAAATCGGACCGCTCCATTAAGATTATTTCTCTTATTTTTCGATGTAGTACTTGAATTATACCCTAACAATAAGATATTCACTATCATAAAGTAGATGTGAAAGGTGAACAAAAAATAACCGTAACTTGATACATCAGTATGCTTTATGATCAATTCTGGGTTGAAAAGGATGTGATCATTGTAATATTTGGTAATGGTACTTCGTAAGTTTCAGCAATGTTTGGATTCACACATGTGAAGGGGGTTAATGTTCGGCTCTACACGTTGAATTGGAATTTTAGATGGGCCTTTACTTAAAATCATGGTTAAAAAAGGCACGCTTAACCTTACGCGTTTAGGCATATCTAGGCGCAAGGCAATGACAAAACACCTCGCTTAGGGGTTTCACGCTTAATTAGATGCTGGAACACATCAATGGAGTAATGCGACATATAATTCTCTCCTAAACTGTACTAGATGGAGCTAGGATGTCAATATTAAAGGAGAAAATTAACGTCAACTACGAAATTAATTTTCTATATCAATATTTTCAATGGCTCAAGAACTTTATGAGCTATTGAGCTATGATTCTATGAATTCGTGAGCTATGTTATTGCCATTAAGTTATCATTTTAACTGAAGTGAGGAAGCGTTATAGATTATTATTTCATTCATCATGTAGTGCGAATAACGATTTTTCTT